CTTTAAAGAGTCCTCTCCTGCTGATGTTCAGGTGTATATCAGTATGTAGTGTCTCTACTTTAAAGAGTCCTCTCCTGCTGATGTTCAGGTGTATATCAGTATGTAGTGTCTCTACTTTAAAGAGTCCTCTCCTGCTGATGTTCAGGTGTATATCAGTATGTAGTGTCTCTACTTTAAAGAGTCCTCTCCTGCTGATGTTCAGGTGTATATCAGTATGTAGTGTCTCTACTTTAAAGAGTCCTCTCCTGCTGATGTTCAGGTGTATATCAGTATGTAGTGTCTCTACTTTAAAGAGTCCTCTCCTGCTGATGTTCAGGTGTATATCAGTATGTAGTGTCTCTACTTTAAAGAGTCCTCTCTTGCTGATGTTCAGGTGTATATCAGTATGTAGTGTCTCTACTTTAAAGAGTCCTCTCTTGCTGATGTTCAGGTGTATGAATGCTAGGAATCTGACGGATGTGTGAGTGTTTCTGAGCCGTGAATCACGCAGAAGCTTGAGCTCGTGTTTACCGAAGAGGGGCTCACATTTATTTTGGAAACAAGTCCTTAAAAACACTTTAACTCGGATACAATGTCTTAAGACATGTTAGTCAACGGAGACTAAGAGGGGCAGACCTAACAAGCGAAGTGCATCCATACAAATGTGTGATTAAAGAAGCTTAGTGGTTTAAGTGAAGAGAAAACACAGCCTCAGATTTGAGCATATACTCAAGGTTGGGATATTAAAAAGTGGTATCGAGCCAGTCTGAATAAATGCTTTGTACTGCGTTGTTTAAAAACTCGAGTGTAGGATTTATTTTGCATTACCTGTCCATTGACTTCCTCTTTCTCCAGGTGTGAGTCGGCACCATCTTCACTCTGCTTCTTGTTGCACTGTGTGAAACATCGATACATGTTACATTAGTTTTTAAATTCAGCATGCATAGGAGGGTCAACTGATATATATGTGAGCAAAAACTAAGTCTGCAACTAGCGATGGTTTTCATTATTTGTTAAATATCCACAAACTCCACCAGGTGATCTCTTTAAGTGTCTTGTTTTATTAGTCAAAGCCACTTTTTGTACTGTCAAACTACTATTTTGTTAACACAGCAATACAAGTACACAAACAAAACAATACATGGTATTTAATGCTAGAATATGCTGTTACGCGAGACATCTCCACATTGCACAGGCCGAACGCTGACATTTCCGCATGAAAATGTGCTTTAAATATGATGCAGGAACTCACCTGTTTGGTGCAGTTCTCACACTTCTCCTTGCGCTTCGGTACGTTGACCTCTGACATCTTCCTCTGCAGTTATCTGTGAATAGAGCACGTTATATATATGTAAAGATATATAAAGATTAAAGCACTATTAGCTTCATATAGCTGGTCATGTCCTCTGAAGCATGAGGACTGTCCTGCTACTGGGAGATGTCTTTGCCTCTAAGCCCCGCCCTCCTCTCACTGTTATCCAATCACAGGCAGAGCACTAATCATGGAAACAACAGCCATATAAATGGTGAGAAATGAACCCTGTCATTAACTTTTAAATGGCTCAGGGTAATTATATACGCAGTAAAACAGAAACAGACACAATCACAGAGATGTAATTATGTTTCAAATACGTCACGTAAAATACCGAAACATGTCAAAAAGTGGTGTGTATTGTATTTTATACCCAAGGAAGAGGATTAGGGACACATGAGGACATTTCAAAAATCTGATTTCAATCTCAGAATTCTAATTTAAAGGTCTACTAAAATAGATTTACATTGTTCAATGTTCCAAACTCACATTGGTTTCTCAAACAGCATCTCTGTATAGTATGTGTATTCACTCTCTGTCCTACACGGCTTGTTGGAGCTCCTGCCCCCCCCTCCCCCTCCCTGTGAGCCCACTGTGCTCTGATTAGTCAGCTCGTCCACTCTGTTCTGATGAGTCCACCACCGTTACAGCGGAACATCAGTGATTATGTTTTACAATGGCGTTTGTTAGCAACCAGGAAATGACACCAGAAAGGACAAACAGATGAGAATGCTGCGTGGGGTCTGGGTGCCGTGTTGGTGGGACGTTGCGGGGCTCGCTGCTGTGTGGAGCGGACAGTGTGAGCTGGATCACTGGTGTTGTTTCCTGGTTGCTGCGTGGGGTCTGCGAGACACCGCAAAACTCTCCTGAACTCAGCCTGAGCACACACACACACTCACTGGGGCCGTTTCTCAATCGCGAGGAAACTGGCTTCCAAGCCAATATTTCAAGGATACTACGTTATCGAGTACCGCCGAAGGACTGTTCCAATATCCAGCATACTTGGAATTCCACAGAGGCCGCGTCCTTGGTTTGGGGGTAATTTCGAGGCTGCACATGGGTAGACTTTGCGCCCTTCAAATCCCCACAATGCTTTGCGCACGGACCAATTTCCCCAAATCTGTGGCGGAAAATGTAAGGCGGGGCCTCTCATATGACGCACACCTGCACACTTGCTAGCCTGTTCCACTCTTCGTTTTCCAAATGCCAGGAAGGATTCTTGCCTAGCTTCTGAAGGAAGTGACTCGGACGACATGTGCTACCAAGCAAGCATCCTCGAGATTGAGAAACGGCCTGGGTATTTCTCAATGTCGAGTAAAGCTGCTTCAGAGTCACTATTTCAAGCATACTATGTCATCGAGTGTCGCCGAAGGATTGTTCCAATCTCCGGCATATTTGGAATTCTACCGAGCCCGGCGTACTTCGTAGCGAGAGATTTCGAGGCTGCACTTGTGTAGACTCCGCAGTCTTAAAATCCCCACAATGCTTTGCGCACGGACCAATTTCCCCAAATCTGTGGCTGAAAAATAAGGCGGGGCCTCTCATATGACGCACACCTGCACACTTGCTAGCCTGTACCACTCTTCGTTTTCCGAATGCC